GGATAGGAAGGAGAAATAATATGAGAGGATTCGTGGAAGCTTTGCATTCAGTTCAGTGAGTGAGTGAGTCAGTCAGTCAGTCAGTCAGTCAGTCAGTCAGTCAGTCAGTCAGTGAGTGAGTGAGTCAGTGAATGAGTAATCAAGAGATGTATAGACATGGAGGCAATCTATCAAGCGATGAGCAGAATGGTAAACGACAGAAAGGAGAGATGTGAAGGAGAGGGAGAGGGAGAGGAAGAGGAAGAGGAATAGGAAGAGTCAACAGGGAAATGTATACAGTCAGTTGAGGACCGGACAATCAGAGGAGATAAGCAATCAGAAAGCGCTCCATCATGGAGAGATATAGACAGTTCAGTACTTCATACTGAATTTATTGGTGATGATGTCGTGTAGGAGAAAGACGATGAAAGCTCCACAACTAAACAACCCAGATGGGAGAACACGATGCAACCGAAAGGTTGACTATTCCTACTAACCATCACCTTTAGATTGTTTATTCTCACACATATCTTTGTCTACCTTAATATCACTTTTATTGCATCCAGTTGTGCATTGGAATTACAATCTGGGCTGCTTTGCTAGGTTCAAATATCGTGCAGACATTCCATATCCCCACGTTTACTTTCGCTTTCATCGAGAGAAGACACATCGACCAATTGGCTTCCCGAAGGCTTTCACCAACTGGCGTCATTTCACCTCTCCGATTCCAGCGAGGAATAAGTTTATTATTTTTTATATTTTGTTTGTGGTTTGAAGTTTCTTTAGTGGTTAGATTTGTTTTACGGGGTAGGGTTGCTAGCCCTATGCCCAACCTCCCCTCTTTACCCTGGCTTAGGACTGGCTAGTAACTAGTGAACTAGTTAACCAGGCGAGGTTTGTGTATTGGAATATTACTGTGAAATGTGGCAAGTTGGCCGGATACACTAGTGTGCGATATTCTTCGTTGATATTATCTATCCACCTGTCTATTCGGGTCACAAATGGCCCTCATGAGGAGTGGGCGATGTAATGGGAATCTGTACGCATTCACTAACCATTGTAGGCATCTACTTCTTAGTATCCAGCATTTAATCGGACATAATTGATATTCGAAGAAAGTAGAAAGTTGAATATTGATGGGTTTGTAGGGATTTAGAGTTATTTCAAGTTGGCATTGTTTCTCTTTTAAAGATTTTTTTAGCAGCTTCATTAAAACGCGAAAAATCTTTAAGTAACAGGCAAAAGAAGAATGTGAGTGTGCCGTTCTACACTTACATCAAGTTGTTTATCAAACCAATGAAGATGGTTGTTACACAGAATTCGCATAACACACAAAGTGTAAATATCTAAGTCATATAACTGTGAAAATATCGAACATCCACAATCCATACCACGTAAATCAATCACCTTCAATATTGGTGAAAGTATCTGCGAACAATACTCGCACCTCATCTCTGTTAATTAAAAGACATTTCAACGAATATCTTCAACTCTGTTCATTCATCTTGATAAGTGTCTTCAACGCCAACTCCTACCAACATACATTCATGATTGTCACTCCAATATCTTCTTCAAAAAACAACATCAAACATCATTCCAATTAACTTTCATAGAACACAGTAACATTTCTATTACACTGAATTAACTACCAAGTATCTGTTACAAAATTTCATGAGTAAACTTATCTCATTCCATTGATTAGTCACCTGTTACCAAACTGATAAAAATGTTTTAAGTATTCAGTTGAAAATGAACAACAATTGAAGTGGAATAACACATTTTTACCAGTGAATTTTGTCAACTTCTTGTCAGATACTTCACAGTGTGAAACATCTTTAAATACTATATCAGAAAAAGAATTTCAACATACCGTCCTATGCTTAAATCAAATTTGGTTTACAGTTATCTATATGATGTAATGAGTAATAAGCATATTTGAATAAACCTTCTATGTATATATCTGATCTGATTTAACAGACAGTTATAGAGATTTAATATGCATAATGGGAGAGTGTTCTAGTATTTAGAGTAGAAGTATATGTAAGGAGACTAACTGGTAGCTTAGTTGACTATGGGGAAGCATACAAGTTGAGTAATAATGTGATACGTTGAACTTATCTGATCAAAACGATGACAAGATATTTGTGAAAACCATGGTAAACATAACATACCATGTTACCAAGTTTGACTCTATCGTCAGAACAATGTGTTCTTACTGAAGAAAAACCGTAGGTCATCAAGTTCCTATTGCATGTTCGCTCTGATTCTTGATACAGGTTTACGTGCATCTGCTGCAACATTTGTGTTGGGAGAACAGAGAAAAGCATATATCTAGAATTACGTGGGACTATTGAGTAAGTAGTCAAAGCCAGGATTAGAAAAGGAAGACAGGCGTTCATTAACCTGAAACCAGTGTCGAGGTCTTCTGCACTGCACTCAGCATAAAGCATGAAAATATCCAGATTTTCAACACCAACGTCAAGTCAATGCTCCTATACGGTTCAGAAACTTGGCCCATCACGAAAAGTATTCTCAACAAACTACAGACATCCATCAACAACTGCCCACGCTGGCTCGTTACTGAAGATCAGATGACCAGAAAGAATAAGCGACAAGCTACTCCGGTAACGAACCAACCAAGAATCTATCATTCAACAAATATGCAGAGGAAGAAAGTGGAGATGGATTGGGCATGCACTGAGAAGGCTGACTGGGGACACCACGCACCAGACACTCGAGTGGAATCCAGATGAGAAACGACGAGTTGGGCGTCACAGGGTGACATGGAGGGGATCGTGCAAGGAAGAAATGAGAGCTTGTGAGGTGTCATGGAGCCAGGTTCAAAAGTTTGCAGAGAAGAGAGTAGAATGGAGACGTGCTACTGAATCCTTATGTTCCACTAGGAACCCAACGGACAAATAATAATAATAATATATAACAAAGAGAGCAACTGTTAAGGTGAATTCTGCGGGTAATACCGGGCCTCCACCCACGTAACTACACACAAATACACAATACAGTTTTTTCTTTCAATTATTATAATTTTTGTTGGGTTGTGGCTACGAGAAGAACCTATAATGCGCATTTCGTCCTATTTGGACTCGTCAGCTGAATGTACCTGAGCCTCAGTGAGTGATGTTGTATCCAACTGGACTAGAACCTCATATGAACAGTTTCAAACGCCAAGTCGTTATCAACTATGTCACGAAGAGCATGTGACAGTAAAGGTCGAACAGTTCGATCCAATAAAACTACAGAGAATTACAAATGTGTCAATAAATAGCAATATTATAGTATTTATTGCTGGATATCATAAGAATCAATTATTTTTCGGTTCATAAGTAGGAGTACTACCCACATCTTTGAAGGTTATCACCAGTTCAATGTAATGATCATTGTAACTGGCTCTGAATTAAGATGCGGGAATTCTTGGTAATTCATAGTGGATTAATATGTTCTTGACTTTCCAAGATTAGGTTCATTGATATATTTTCAAGTGTATGTCCTTCTTTTCAGGATAATTCAGTGTTCTTTTACTTTGAATGATTTAATTGCTCCATGTATAGGAGATACTTAGGAGGAGATTGTATGACACACATTTTCCTTATTGTTAGGATGCATTGCTCAATTTGTCTACACTCCAATCACTTCACATCTTCCAGCTCAAGCATACATTATACATATATAGTTATCTTGGGGTCAGAAGGCAATATCGAGGCAACTGTCTACGGAGTTCTTTCCTCAACAAGATATGGTCTTGATACCTCACTAGCCTAAGTCACTTAAAACACTGAGTGCTAGGTTCAAGTCTCAGCAGAAACAACGATAATGACAGCGATAACAATATGCATGAAGATGTACCCAGCGGATAACTCTCAAATAGGTGGATTCTACTAGTGGACACGATTAAACAGAATACTCCGCTTCTAATACACATCATCAGAAGTTTCATTAACTTACAATAAACTATCTTGTTTGTTACCATGTCTAGCTAACATAGAAAAATTTATTCCCAAAACATTCAATGGTGAACTATTTGACATGACTATCATAATCAAGGGTTAACAGATCTACTATGAAAACGGATATTTTCATAGTGTTTCAGGATAGAGGACCTTCTTTCGCATCCAGAGAGATCTTTCTTCAGCTTTATGCTCTTCGATACAGTGTCCTATGTTAAATTTGTTTAAATGAGGTCTGATATGGTCAGTAGAAAAGTATGAAAAACATACTTTCGGTATGAGATAAAGAGAATAAATAAATAGAACTACGCATTACAATCTACTAATTGTTCTAGGTCTTTCAGTAATATTTGCAAAAAAAAAACGCTTCAAAAACTCTAACATTCAGATCAGTGATTTCTGAAGATAAACAGCAATTTCTACACTATTTTAGACACTTGTGTTGAAAGATATTTCTGTTGTAAATCGTTTAATCATATGCGCGAATTACAATCATAAAAACAAAATTCTGTTCAACTGATGAGGTGAACTACTGGATGAAATGAGCAGTTGTTAAGAAAATGGTTTATTATCCTTTCGATCAAATCATTAATAAAATAGGTAAGGAAGGTCTGAAGGTTTCAGATCCTCTTGTAACACAGACACACACACATATACAACAGGCAAAGATGAATATACATCAGCATGATACTCAGTTACTTCTACAACCCTGTAATAATGTTGAAAATAACTTATAAAGGTGTGGACAGGGCTTGGCCAATCGTGTAACTTGGATGGTTGATAGACATTCAGTCTAGAGAAGGATATCCGTGTCGTGAGTGAGTGAAAGCGTCTCAGATAGCCTAATTAGAAGTTAGTTACCGCCTATTGCAAGTTATCCAGCGTAATTTCAACTGGAATAAAACATCTCACCTAAACTTACTATGATTTACGGAAGACATAGCCGAGTGTCTACCACTTGGATGAAATCTACATAGATATATCAATAGATATATCAATCAAAGTTATATAGTTAAGCAGTTAAATAATAGTAATTACTGTATACTCATAATTAATTACCTTGAGTTAAAATGTGTGTTGCTAATTTCACTTGTGAAAAATTTCCTGATCCAATTGTATTTAGAATACGATAAAAACCGATATCATTCAATTTTGTATTTAATTTATCAGTATTGTTGAATGATTCTTGTTTATTCTGTTTCATTTGATCTCTAGATGTTTCAGGTGTAATCTCTGATCGATACGATGTGTATTGTCCTGATGGTGATGGTGATGGTGCTGGTGGTGGTGAGAGTGGAAGTGTTGACTGTTTCTGATTTATACACAATTGTTCATCTCTCCTTCTTAAGTGTTCATTTAATCCTATTGATAATATTTTACTGTCAACTTTTTCACTGTCTACTGTTTTCATTGTTTTATACTTCTGTGTAAATTTCCGTGTAACAGTTGGTGTACAAGATGAGGATGAGGATGCTGATGTCGACGTCGACGACGATGATGATAGTGGAGATGAAGATGACTTTTTCCTTTCATCTCTATTAACAATGGGATGAACTACTTGTGTTGGATAACAGTTTGTGGACAAATTATGTGTTATTGAATTAGCATCTACTGATGCGTTTGTCACCGTTTTTATTGTCCTTGTTGTTGTGTTAGCCAACTCTTTCACTTTGAATTCTTGATCTTTACCACTATCCATACCCGAATATTTCTCTCGAATTGATTTTCTTTCTTTTTTTATTCTCTCCACTGATTTAACAGTTTCTGATGCTAGATTAGTTGGTCTCTTCTGCCTACAATCAGTAATCAATACATCTGGATTCAATAAAGATGTTGTTACTGATGATAATGGTGTACAAGAGGAATATGGTGATGACAATAACTGTGTCTTAGCCACAGTCTGTATTGTAGACGTTTTATTTACATATAACTCGTGTATAGGATTACTTTTCACCAGTTGATAATTTGTATTACTTTGCATGGCATCTGTAGCAAGTTCAGTGAACTGTCTACCCAGTTTATCGAATAAATCATCCTGATTGGTTGATGAGGTAGATTTATTTGAATAATGATTATTACTATTCATCAGGTGATACTTTGTTAATGATACAGTGAACCAATTACATTCTTCTTCATCTCTTCTATTATTATTATTCGAATTTCTATTTTCCATTTCATCTAGTTATCTTCTTCAATTGTACTCTATTATTAGTAACTACTGAAAACTTCATTACTCTGAAGTATTTACATTTAAATTGTATTGATACCTTGATCATTGTTTAAAATGCATAAGAATGAAAATGGGCGGGAATTTAAATTACTATTATTCGACACACTTTTTTCCCCTCTATATCATCATTGTTTAACATAAGCTTTGTTTATTTGTTAGTGTCATATGATCGCATACAATCCTTTATTGTGTGTGTGTGTGTGAGTGTGTGAGTGCATATGATACATATTCGTTAAAAAAAACGAAGAGAATAAAGAATCACATTTTTCAAAGTGTACTCACTTATTTAAGAAGATTAGTTGATCAACTTTTTTACAGACTTGAAAACGTTAAATCATAATAGAATATTATGTGAACTGATTCAATAGAAGAATAAATTTTCATTTGTTACAACCTGATAATTTGTAACTTGCATTATGATTGGTCCACATCAATTATCCAATCATATTTGAAGCTTAAATTTTAACAAGATAGAATGGTCATTATTTCATCAATTATTATCATTATTATCTAAATAGTCAGTAATTAAGCAGTTTTGATGTAAAGAAGATTGAAGAGGAAGGAAAAAGGTGAAGTATACTAACTTCCCTCTGTCTGAATTTACTTTACCTATCTTCTTATAGTCTGAAACAATAAAAAAGTATTGATGGTTAATGATGTATTCACTGCGGACTGACATCAGTCGGGGAACTATTGAAAACCTTACACCATTAGACCTCAACTGTTTCGTTTCAGTATGGGACTCCTCAGCAGTAGGAATCCACATCCTAGTAGGGATCAAACTCAGTACATTCAGGTTTCACGGCGAATATGCTAATCATTCAGCCACTGATTTGGTGTTCAATAGTCCATAGTTTCCTACTTCTGTAAATTAGCTGTATAAAAAGACTATCCATCAAGGTCTTCAACTGACATCCGCTCCACTTCTGACTGTTTGACTCTACAAGTCACGATTGTGGCTGAATGCTTAACGCATTCTCCGTGGAACCTAAGGCATCTGAATTCGACCTCCTGGCGGGTAGGGTCGGGGATGTGTACTGATGAAGATTTTCATACCAAGATGAAACAGATGTCCATTGCCATAGAAGCAAAATGAAGACGATATTGGGTTATTAAAGTATGTGATCAAAATGTAACAAAAGCGGTTTCCTTTTTACAGATAATTCCGGTTTCTTCATGCATATGGCAAGAACTTCTGCAATGCACAGTTTTTTGCCAAATTTCTTTTCATCTTGTAAAAAATGAATTTTAACAGTTATGATGCTGTGATCTATGTTGACAAAGTGTTCACTTATTCCATTTTTGATGGATCTACTTGCATCTATCTCTTTGTAGTCAGGCTGGGTAATGTTCTCCAGCCCATTTGAGGAGAATGCTTATCGAATGACCTACATACCTCCTTCCATAGGAGCAAGTGAATCAATATACGTACATAGAAGTGATAAGATGCCGAATCTTGTCCTTTCGGTTGCCAGAAGTCATTTTAAAGCTGGGGAATACAATAGTCAAGGTTGATGCAAACAAGGTTTTCTTTAGCGAGTTTTAAATTTTTCTTTTCAAAATATCAGTAGTGAAACCCCCTTTGAAGTCAAGATGCATGCATAATATCTTCCGTAGGAGTGAAATGTATATCGTTCTCTACCGTTTAACCCTTACGTTTTTGCCCACCAATCGTGTTGGATATCAGTTTTCAACTAGAGATATTTCGAAAAACATAAGTTCTTCTTCTCACCTATCACTACTGCAGATGTGTCGAATACAGTGACCAAGGGATACGATAAATGTTCTTTTTTCACCAGTAGGAACCCAACTGTAAGATTTCATCAGCTATCCATTGGATACAAATCTTGTGTAGATGGACTTTTCCAACGTTGTATCATCTCATCTGGTACGTTCGACATCCAGAAGTTGAATCTTCATTTCCTTTCTTATTTCAAGTGTGAATTTATTCGAGGGATGGCAAAGGTTAAATTATTATTATTATTACTATTATTTGTCCCTTGGGTTCCTAGTGGAACATAGGGCTTCACTAGCACGTCAATATTTCACTCTCTTCTCTGCAATCTTTTCAACCTGGCTCCACGACAGACCCCAAGCTCTCATTTCTTCCTCACACTACCTCCTTCATATCACCCCCACCTCGGACATCAAACTGGTCGCTTCCCGTCAGGGTTCCACTCAACGGCCTGGCCTGGCACAACATGTCCCCAGTCGGCCTTCTCAGTGTATGGCCAATCCATCTCCACTTCCACTTCCTTCTGCATATTTGTTGAGTGATAGGTTCTTGGTTGGTTCGTTACCAGCCAGCTAGCCAGAGTTCCTTGTTGCTTATTCTTTCTGGCAATATAGGCTTCAGTATCGAGTGAGCGTAGGCAGTTGTTGATGAATGTCTGTAGTTTATTGGAAATCCCCTTCGTAACGCGCCAAGTCTCTGAACTAAACAGGAGCACTGACTTGACATTGGTGTTGAAAATCCGGATATTGTTCCACATGCTGAGTGCAGTGCAGAATATCTCTACATTGGCTTCACGTTAATGAACGTCTGTCTTCCTTTTCCGATCCTGACTTTGACATCCTCGTCTGTGCCACCTGTAGTTGAAACAGTGCTGTGTAGATAGGTGAAGGAGGCTGCTTCCTTTAAGTTTCTCCCGTTCATGGTGATTGGAGATTGTTGTTGTTGGTGATGGTGTTGGTTGGGCATCTTTATCACCCCTATCTTCTCTATATTCACTTGAAGTCCCGTCTTCGCTGCCCAGCCTCGCCTCTTCTGTCAACTTGTAAGTTTTCGCCTTTAGATCTTCAAGTTTGTGTGAGATCAAACACAAGTCATCGGCGAAATACAAATCTTCTTCTGGGGTCTTTTCATCGGTTCAGCCAGTGTATCCCTCTCTTCTCGCTCCTCATATGATCCAGTCTAGTCAACCACAATGAGGAATATCATGGGTGATAGTAGACAGCCTTGTTTCACTCCTGTCTTTATTTCAAAAGCATCACTGAGCTACCCATTGTCAGTTATTGACCTTGGACTACTGTTTTCTGAACTGGTTAATCAATAATCTGCCAATAGCGGACCATGAGGAAAACCCGTAGAGATTCTATCTGTTTGATAGTAGATCATGTTGTTGAAGGAAAACTAAACGCTGAAGTTGCATATGTCAAAGGGTAGTTGAAACTCATCTACATTGACGGAATGCGAGAAGGAATATAATATAGAAGGAAAATAACGAGGTAGAAAAAGTGACTGTCAAGTTATTCATAACTAACCGAGAAGAGACAGTTAGAAAACTATTGAAAATGTAAACAAAACTTTGATTTATTGACCATACCTCCATGGTCTAGTGGATAACATCTTGGCGTTTAAAGCAATAGGTAGTGCGTTCAAATCTCAATGGGAATGATATAACTCCTCACTGGAGTGCAGGTACATCCAGCTGACGAGTCCTAAATAGGATGAAACAGGTATCGTGGATTCCTCTGCTAGCTACAATCAAGTAAATTATTAAAACTTCCATTTGTTTACTTGTTAGTTTGTTTTTTGTCTTCTGTTGGTGATGATGCATTATACATAAAAGCTTTTGAAACCTACTACTTATAAATCCATGTATGAAAATTACACGATGAAATCCGGTTATAATATTGTAGAACATACATTGACGTATTCTGTTAGAAGGTTTATCAGTTCCCCATGTAAATTGATATAAGTTAATGGATCAGTAGAACTTTTGGTAAATTGGAAAACTATTTCATGCTAATTTCCAACTCGCTAGTAATGTGCTCCAAAGATTGTACATGGGACAGATATCTGATTCGTCACTTATTGTAACCAAAAGGTTACTCCTCAGCCGGAAAGCTGGAAATCCAAGTTTACAGGAAGCCAATAAACACTGATAAAATCCTCAACTACAGTAGCAATAATCCAACAATGCACAAAATTTAGTTGTGTACAGAATCAATTGAAAAGAGAACGAGAGCACACTTCAGTACAACAACTTCACAGAGAAATGAAGAGAATTACTTAATGTCTATCCTAAACAGACAACGACTACTCAACAAAAACTTCATCACAAAATCTCTATCCCATACATCATCAACTACAAAGTCATCCACAACAATCAATAAAAGCATCATCCCATCGTACATCAAATAACGTATATCAGAAATCATGACAAGATTACTGAGACAAACTACTCACTGGAATTGCAGTCTGCCTCACAATAAACTAACTAATCCCCTCCAAACACTATTTACCATACACACAAAAGCATGCAACAACCAAGAAGAAGATAAACCGAATATCATCTACAAAATCAACTGGAATGTCTGTAGTCAACACACTGCATTGGACAGAGTGGTCGCCCATTTCACCTTCGTCTACATGAACACCAATTACTTGCTGATCGTCACGACATCTGATCACTCATTTCAATGCACATGGATAACAAGTGTGGAGATGAATTGAGATTTGAGAG